CATCGAGATTCACAAAGTGCTGCGCCTGCCACGAAATCTGCACATCGGATATCCAAAAGTTGCACGAGGCTTTCGCAAATTTTGAAATGCGTTTCAGAAATGCTGTGCCTGCCACGAAATCATCCCTGCAGGTCATACGAAATGCTGCACTGGCCACGCAAAAGCATCCTCAAGTTCAAATTCGAAAAATGCGACCCCTCTCACGAATTCAGCCGTTTCACCTCAAAATATCGCATCCATGGTGCGGATTCCCTGCGCCTGCCACGTGAAACGCAGTCCTGCGAATGACACACGCCTGCCAACGTTTTTGCAGCGTCCACAAAACACTGCGCCTGCCACGAAATTTGCAAAGTCTCCGATTCCTTGCACCTGCCACGTAAAATGACGTTTTCGAGGCTCCAATGTGTCGAATTCCTTGCGCCTGCCACGCAAAATGCACTTCATGTCCGAAAACGAGCACGGCACCTGCACGAGAGCTTTGTCCCGGAAGCGCGAAAACCGCGACACCCACTTTATGCGAGCCTGCGCAGTCGAAATGGACATGAGGAATTCAAAAAGTAACTTTTGTGCGAGCCGGCCCACGCAAAATGCCGCAACCACACGCGCGAACCCTGATCTAAACCCGGCCCTTAACTCTCACCGTAAGAACCCCTTAGTGCGGAGCACTATTTGGGGAAAAAAGCTATACAGCAGCATGTATACACTCAAAATGACACTATTATATATTTTACATATCGTCAGTATCAATTGAACAGCATCGATACTTTTAGCAAGCACATCCACCAAGTTCCACTCGTCCTGTGCTACCCATGGGTCTTTATATGTGCCCATGTACTGCTATTTGATCTGAGGCTTGCAAGGGATCGGGCCTCCACAAGCACACCGGCACCGCCCAAAATGGCTTCAGCCGTGCTGCGTAGCTCCTCTCACAATCAGGTTCGTGGCTTCTCTGGAGACATCTTCTGCAACCTTTAAAATTTGCAGACGCCACATCCGTGTCCCATTTTGCCCCTGCACACATCCTAATCTTCATTTATTCTACAGTACGAGTGCAACCATCGCTGAGCTGTAAGTTAGTTGTGTCATGTCTGTCAAAATGTCTCTCCAGTGTCAAGATAAGTCGAAACCCCTACAATGGAGACCAATTCGGATCAACGAAACCTGCAGTCTCCTCCTTTTTCGCGTCCCCGCGCGACAGCAGGAGGCAACGATTCATTTTCCTCAAGCACCGGGCAACATGGGCAACCTGTGAAAAGCTTTGATATGTGATGATATTTGCATATTTCCTAGATTCATGATTCATTGACACACCTGGCTATGCTAGTGTGCTAGTGCTTTTATGAAAAACGTTGAGGGCCTCATGACCCAGTCACTCTACCCCCAACTGGCTTTGCCTTGCCTGTTTTGTGGAACCATCCGGAACGCCCTGCCCAGCCCCGATCGTTCCAGGTGGCGCAGCGTCCAAAGCCCAATTGGAAAGTCCCACAAAGCTCACCTGGCAACAGATCTGTGGCCTCAAATGACAAGTGCAATTGCCCAAAATGATCCGGGTTGCCTGCTTTTCGGGCATCTCCAGAAGCTTGTGCAGCACCTGCGGCCGACCGCCATGACCTCTCATGACCCTGCCTTGATTATTTAGAGTCATCTAATATCATCTACATATAATTGTGGTGAATCTATGGCGAGTGCAAAAACCACCAAACCAAGGTTCTCTAACGTGTCACTCCGGCTTTGAAGGAAGGACATAGCACCAGGCTTTAGTTGCTTGCCATCGTCTTGGAGTGCGAAGTTCAAGACGGTGTGTCCATCCCTATCTTCGCCTCACCTTTTCAGTGGTCGGCAGGTCAATCCCCACCTTCAAAGGCAAATTGGGCGAACGCTCCGCCAAACCCACCTGTGCGTTCGAGAGGTCTGAGTGTGACCTTGGGACTCTTTTGGGCTATCATGGTTTTATTACATTTGAAGAGAAGACACACCCAAAGTGCCAGGGGTGACCCCCATTCATGAAAGCGGGGTACCCCGCGAGCAGCCAAAACCCAACACACTGGGTGACCCAGGTGCTACCCCAAGCGATCCAGCGGAACAAAAGCAAAAGCAAAACCCCAGCAGAACCCTCAAACTCGGTCAAAGGACTATGACTTAAGACTTCCACATCGTCATTTCAGTGTTGCCGATGCAGGATTCTGCGTGGCGCCTCATCCAAGAAGACCACGCCCCGTCGATCCTCCTGAGGATCCTGTAGGTGGGGGTTGGGCGGGTTGACCCTCACAGACTCACAGGTTTACAATTTGCAATCAATGCTTCATTCAAATGTCTTGGCTCAACTTCAAACAAAAATGGTTGCAACACCAAGAAGCAATACAGAAATAATCTTGGGAGTGCGTGGTTAAGATGTCTTGAGCAAGGTGCAAGGCTAAGAGAGAAATGCACCGGTGATTGAGAGCAGCAATCGGAAGCAAAACAAAGAGAACGAGCATTCAATTGATTAGCACTAATCCTGGCACACCCAAGCGTGGCCTGTTCATACTTTCTGGCATCTTCAAATCGCCCCTCTATGTCCTGGTAGGCAGGGTTGGCTTGATCATCTAAACTGTCACTTGTTTGTGAAGCACCATGGGTCATGATGACATATGCTGCTAAACATTGTCTGAGCTGACATGGACATGGGTCTAAATAGGAAACCCATTGATGGACATGGTGTGAGTGCTGATTGAATCTCTTCCCCTTTCTCTTTCTCTCTCTCTCTCTCTCTCTCTCTGAGTCTCTGACTGAGCTTTGTATATAAACGACTCCTCTTTGAGACCCGTCCTTCGCATGGCTGTGCTTGGAGCACTGGTAAGGAAACACCTGGGTGTCAGCTTGCAAAGGCACTCATCAAGAAGTCCACCCGTATCCACCCGTAATATGTACGGTCTACTTGTCAGTCAGAAAGGTTTTCTTCGGGAGCTGTGTCAACGCCCTATTACTCTGCCATACCCTGCTAAAGCCTGTTCCACATCACCGCTAGCAGCTAGGCTGATTCATGACCAGCATAAGTATTTGCAAATTACGTATTATGATTGCGCGATCCGCAGCGAGACAAGGCAAAGGATATATAATGTGTAGATATATGTAGTATGATCTCTCAGCATACTGGTATTAAATATATATGTGTGTGATACATCAAACATACATATTACATGTGCAAACTTGGGACCTCACAGCCGCAAATCTAGCAGTGGCACTGCAATGTCTGGGTAGTGTGACAGCTTGCTCGGCTTGGTTTCCCGGTGGAACTTGTCACGGATGATCTGCACAAGAGCGCCAGTAGTCGCGGCGGTTCTCAGGTGTGACGCTATCAGCCTTTGCAAACATGTCTGAAACAAACACATCCATGGCTGAAGTTAAACCAACCACCCTCTAAATTCAAGGTATTGCAGTTCCTAGATTGGGGGTGGAGTATGTCAAAAACAGGAAGTGTGGAGCCAAAGATGCACTGGGCAAATCTTGTGACCTCGGCACCACTCCCAGCATTTCAGGAAGGGTCCCGATTCGATTCGGAACCGAACTTTCGGAACCGAAAGTCAGCGAATGTCAAGAACCGAAATTTTTCATCAACCGAATCATTACAACCGTCAATTTTCCAAACACAACCGAACCGAAAAGAAAAACGAGCCGTTCCGCTCTGTTCCGCTGTGACGTTTTTTCAGACTGTCCAAAGTCTTGAGTTTCAGAGCAGCAGTCCCCCACTGGAATGTCCATACAGCATGTCACTGGCCCGGCCCGGCTTCAGGCGCATTCATAAAATGCTGTCCTTTCCTTTTCCTTTTCCTTGCTTTCCTTTCCAATATGCTTATAATATAGACGGCATGGAAAAGGCATATTCACTAATTGCATTCCTACCTGTCCATGTCCATTTCCTTTTCCTTTCCTTTGCTTTCCCTGACATTGTCCTTTCCTTTCCTTGTCCTTTCCTTTCCAATATGCTTTTTGGACTGCCAGGAAAAAGCATATTCACAAATTGCATACCTTACCTGTCCTTTTCCTTTTCCTCTCTTTGTCAATTGCTTTGCTTTCCTTTCCTTCCTTTTCCTTTTCTCGGCTGTCCTTTCCAATATGCTTTTTGGAAGGCCTGGAAAAAGCATATTCACAAATTGCATTCCTTCCCCTTGCTTTTCCTTTTCTATTCCCTTTCTTTGCTTTCCCTTCCTTTCCTTTCCGTTCCTTTCCTGAAAATAGTTCCTTTCCTTTTGCTTTCGATTTTCCCTTTTTCTCCTGTTCTGTCCTGTCTTGTCTATAGTCTACAAGTATAGTCTAGTCTTGTCTTGTCTCTTTGTCATTGCCTTTCTTTTCTCTATCCCACTGCGAAACTTATACCTCACAGAACCGAAACGAACCGTGAACCGAACCGAAAGTCCATGAAAAAGTACTTCTACAACCAAACCGAACCGATTCGAAGTTTCAATTAAACATTCAAACCGATTTGAACCGAACCGAAACCTTACTGCATTTGCCGCCCACAATCTCGTTTTCACGGAAATGGACATGATTACACGGGCATGCCCCCCTTTACAAAACCTGTCCCCAGAGCCTGCATGGCCAGGCTCTTGGAGGAGCCGGGCTTCCCAACAAGTACCAAAGGGAGCCGTGCATCAATGCAAAGGATCATCACAAAAAGGTTCCTGGCAACATCAAACGGCAGCCTTCAAGTTCACAAGTTGGGGAAGCCCTTTCCTGTTTAATACCGACCTGCTTGAATCGGTGACGTCGTTTTCAGCAGAAGCACAATCAAAGGACCTAAAGTGTACAAGTTCAGTGCACCCTAGATTGTCTAAGCTTCTCCATCCAAGCTTCTCTCGAAGTGCTCCATTCGGAGCGACACCAGGCGGCAAGGGCAGCAGGGCGTTGATCATGTGCGTCATCTCCTGGCATCCACAGACTCAGATGGAGTCCCACATCCCTGGTCTGTGTCGTCTCCGTATCTTTCAAGCCTTCTTTTTGGCAATAAGGGGAAGCAACTTGTAGTTTGCAATCATTATGGTGGTTGTTCGTTGTTTGGGGTCTTGGGTTTCTTGGAAATCACTCACAAAACCCACCTGGAACTTCAAACGAATTAGTCCTGCAGGCCCTCAATCTTGAACAGCCCAAACGACTACTAATCGTCAAAAGCCCTTCTGAATCCTTCAGCCAATCATTGACCGTATTCCTTCCGTTGTGAGTGTGGTTTCTTCAACTGTGATATTCTTCGTTCAGCATGTTTGCATGTCACGGTCTCCTCTTGAATCAGCTCTTCAATGAAGGAGGCCTTGTACCACCCTTCTGGCAGGTTCGGCCAATAGGCTTCTACTGCTTCCTGGCGGTTGAGCACATGATCACAAAGCGAGTTTGTTCACAAGGCACTTCTGACCAGGACAAAAAACGAACGCCTCCCATCAGGTCTACCCTGTCAAGTGCACCAGCGACACCCGAAACCCTTTCTCAAAAACACCCAATTTGAGGTCTTTGGGAATCTGCAGGGTCGTATCTTTAAAGTGACGTCGCGATAATTCGGCACATGATTTTATAGTGTGTGTAGTGCACGTGCAAAAAACAAAGGTGTTTGACCCAAGATGTCAGTGGTCACACAGCACGGACAAAAGTTTTCATTTTGGCACAAAAATTACTATATAGATAAGATATAGATGAGCTGGAGGGAATCCCGGGGCGGAAGGGAATTGAGCTGAGAAACAGCAGCGATGCGAGCGATGACATGGCCCATCAAACCTCGCCAAAAGCTATAATTGATAATTACATATAATTACAAATAAACTAACCATTGTGGACGACCCTTGGAAGGCTACTTTCCTCAGGCTTCCAGTTCTGTGAGCCACCCAGCCACTCCAGACCCGTGCGTTCAATCACTGATGCGCCTTGAGACGCCACCGGCCATCGTCCAGCCAGAGCTTTTCCGCCGTCCACGCCCGTCCAAACTCCCACTCGATGGTCTCGAGGAGCTTTGAGCGGTGTTCAGAGCTCAGCCGAAACCAGTAGCAAAGGCACAGGGACACAAAGAAAGCCTGCAGAACGCTTGGTCGAACTTGTCGAACTGAATACGGGAACACCGAACACCCAGCCAAGTTGAACCAGCCAGTGTTGGTCTTCCTCCATGTTTCCCATTTCTCCGAATTTGGAGAGGTCACATAAATATTCACACATCTCACGAACACTGGCAAGACAAGCAAAAACATCTCACGGCTACAATTATACATATTGCAGTATAGCGTCCCGATGCCGATTATTTCATACCAGGCCTTGAGCAAGAGTGAGTCACTTGTAGGGTCACGATGCTCCAATTTTGTTTGGTAGTATGCCGTCAGCTTGGCGACTCTGGCAACATCCCTCAGAGATACTGCTGCCTCAAAGCACCACCATATCATCAAATCGCAGCACCAAAAAAACAACCACAGGACACAGCAGATCACAAGAGCATACAAAACAAACCCAAACCCATACCTCCTGCTGCTAGATAGTTTCCGCCCAAGAAACCACATCCCATTTCCGCATGAACTTGTGGCATGTCAGAACCGCAATGGCCATCAACTTGCGCATAGGCCGTGGTTCGCTTGAGCCATATGGCAAGGACTTGAGGATGGCATTCACATAGCGCTCCTCCTCGGCGGTGCTCAACATCCCAAAGTCCCAAGCGCAAGCGATGAGTGATGCTGGAAGCGGATACACGGCATAGACCAAATCGGTCAGTGGGGCAATCTGTTGTTCACCTGAGGCAATCGCTGGCCGAGCCAAGTCGTACCCCTTTCTTCCTCTCTTTATAGCCCGCCAACGTCCCTTCATGACCGCCAAAGATCCCCGCACCCCCTCGCCGCCTGTGCCGGCGTCTGTGGCTTGAAAGCCACCAGTCTCGTGCCACTTCTGCTTCAAGCGATAGGGGTTGCAGGCCGCAAAAACCTTCAGATTCTCTGGCAGTGGGGTTCCCTGCATAGTGCGATCACAAATAAGCTCTCGAAAAAGACCCACACAGCTGGCCGTGTTGATCTCATCTAAGAAGGTCCACACTATCTCGTTCCTTGAGTAGCTGCATGGGCACATATGTGCCGACAAGACAAGAAAACCATACTATATGAATTGTATGATAGCACTGAGATAGCTGAATACCCGGCCTGTTATTATCGCAATGCTGCAAGAGTACCACCTTCGTTCATGTCAAAAAAATAGAGATATACAGTATACCAGCGGATAGGCTTGGATCACGACTGACTATTTTCCACTGACCACCAGGATTCAAAGAAACGCCCAAGTGGCCTGTTGGGCATGCACACGCAAACAAATCTTAGGCCAGTCTTCTCCCCATATCTGCACAAATCTAAAAGGGCACAAACAGCGGCATTGTTTTGATGAAATGCTTTCATTCTGAAACCAACAAACCCATAACTGCTAAATTCAACAGCTGCCCTTGGACAACCCAGATTCGGCTGCCCAAAGGCTGCAGCGATTGCCTCAGGGCAAATTCACAGGTTGGTCCAGTCACAAAAGGTTGCGATTTGAACAAGAAAACTCTGTGAGAGACATCCACCTTGATCTGATCCAAAGTGCGATACTTATATACAGTAATGGCTGCACATTTGTTAGATGGCCGTGGATGTTTGATGTATTTTGTGGTTAGATTTCCAGCCCCTGCAAGGCAAGGATATCTGAAAACGGTTGTCTCATTGGGACAGCAATGTGCTGATTTGTCCAAAGCCTTCAATGCGGCACCATACTGAGTAGAACAGAATGCGTTAGTTCCAAATTAATGTTCCCATTGAGAAGTTTCGAGCTACTCGCAAACATCTGGCCGCTGCATGAATTCTACTTCTTCCACTCAACGCATTATTGCTTCCGGATGCAGTTGAGCAGTGTGTCATTGCTCTATTTGGCCACCCCCCTCAGCAAACCGAAGCAAATCATCTGCTTTGCGCATATCGTGCAAACACACCAACCATATGGGATGACCAAGGCAGGAACATGTCGTTATCCTCTGTGTGTGTGTCTGTTACTCCGGCGGCACACGCTCCGCCATGTACGATACAGGGGCGTATTCATAACACATGCGCAAAACACTGGAGACGTCGTGAAAAACGGTTTCTGCCTCATCCATGAACTTGAGAATGTCTTCTTCCTCCAGGCCACCGTGCACATCGAGTGTGAAGACCCTGAGGCGCAAAAACTTGGCAAGGAAGCACACCACAGCACTCTTGCCACAGCCAGACTCCCCCATGATCACCACGGGCACGCCGGAAGTGACACGATGGTAGAGCGCCACCATCTTCAGGATGTTGTCGACGGTGAGGGCGAAGCGAAGAAGCCGCGGGTCACGGCGTACTTGATTCACGTGCTGCAGGAGGGCCTGGGTGTTGTCGCACATGCCAAAGATCTTGTTCAGCAATATCTCCTGGGCTTGCAAAATGCGTTGAAAAGTCATGTCAGCCGCACTTCCAACATCCACATCGATTCAAATAGAAAATAATAGAAACACTTTCCGAGGGTGTCCAAGTATCTCCCTCTCCAACTGTGTCTACCGTCCCACTTCTCAGCTCTGCGTAGGGCTTGATGTCCAGGCCCACCTGGTGCAGTCGGAGGGCTGCTCCAAACAGCGTAGATTCTGACTGTGGGTTCTCCATGCTCCAATACAACACTGCTTTGTAATGACACTCATTGCTGCAAGTTCCATCTAAAAAGTTGAAGCATATGACTTAATTTTGATATAATACTAGCTACTATTCTATAATATCATATTCATATGCGTTTCCCATGCGTCCCCTGTCAGCCCAAGGTATTGTGATGCAGCGATGTTTTCCATTGTTTTCCCTGTGCCTTGCTTGACAGCTTCTTCTCAGCCTGGTTCAAGAACTTCAAACTCCCAGCCCGCACCACTGGGACAAACCCAGAAGCATGGACATCAAAACCGCTTGGACGATCTCCGTGGTGCGGGATCCTCAGAGACCCGGAAATGCCCAGTGACTCGATTCAAATCAAGGCATCGTCTCTCCCGCCGGACATCTGCTGACAAACAGCAACAAAACATCAAAATGCCAGGCAAAGATGTGCCAAGCGTCAGAACGATCCGCAACCCCCAGTCATACAAGAGCGGAAAAGATCTTCCTCGATCTTCAGGGATCTGCAAGATGTTGCAGTGCCAGTCGAGAAAGGAATTCCTCAAACAAGGTGTCCAGTGACATTTCGCCAACAGTGTGATCAGTCCATTTATCAAGCTGAATCCATGTTCCATTTAAATTTTACAGAAATTTACGATGTCAAATGGAACACTTGAGAACAGGAACGACAACAGATCCTTGCCTCAAGAGGTGCCTGGATGCCAGCTCCCCCGCGAGGTCGCATATGGACTTGGTAAAAAATTGGATCACTGCCACATCCGACTGGCCACGATGCCACCGCCGCAGCAGCGGCATGGCATGTTCGAAGAGGTGGCACAGAAGGCGCGCAAAATAAATGACCAAGACCTGATGGCACGCAATTCTGGGATGCTCGCGGAATTCGTTGTGCGTTCTTATCTCAAGGGACATCTCTTCAGCTTGTACCACTCTGCCCACCCGGATAAGAAGCCTGACACTGTATGGCTTGAAATAGCTGGGAGGCTGCTAACAGCTAAGGCTCAGACTGGTGAAGTGCCGATGGCCGAAACATCACTCGCAGTTCTTGGACCATAGTGCTCCAAGAGGTGTCGACACTCTTCCCGGCCGACATGTTCTTGCATTACCCTCCCAAGCACTGCATGATGGCAGGTTCGGAGATACCGGCACGCCAGTTGCAGGTCGCCATGATCAGTATTCAGCTCCATCCGAGCCTCGTGCCGTGCAGCCAAATCGAAAAAGGCCAGACTTCGGAAAGGTGAGGTCTCATCCAACACATTGGGCACTTCTAGATAAAGTCTCTCCAATGCATCCAGCAGAAACGGCGTGCCATCCTCATGCACCAATCTCCGAAGGACCAACAACCTGAGACAAAAGGTTTAGAAGTCGTGCCCCCGTGCGGCGCACGGTGCCATGACGACAATGAAGCTCTCCGCTCGCACGTCGACCCATCTATCGTCCGAACAGGCCTTCTTGCGTATGGACAGATGCTGAAAACCAACAAACCGGACAAAGGGAGTGGTGGGCTTCACCTCCTGCAGTCCAAGTTGCCGGAACACCACCACATCCACCCAGAGGGCTTGCACCAAGGGTGATATACAAAGCACTATCGCACCCCTGCGCCACCTGCAACAGCTTTGGAGTTGCGTGATCAGCTGGAGCTCACTGGTGTGCTCGTTGAGGCTGACTGAGGTATGCGTGAGACGGCGCCCCTGCAGCTCGTGCTTGACCCAGGTGGACTTGCCTGGATCGAACCAGTCTCTAAAAGAAGTGATCCGGCCCCAAAGGGCCCACCATCCGATACAAAACCCATTCTCAGGAGGTATGATCATTTATGTACTAATCCTGAATCACCTGTGACAATAAATACCGACGAAATCCTACGAAAATTGTTTGGATGATTTTCGATTACATTCACCCATTAGAAGCTACAACAAACTGGAGCACATGTCAGTCCTGCACAGGTCGTCTGCGACCAGACGATGGTGCAGCGCTCTTGGATTTGTGTACGCAAAAGGTCAACTCGCAGCTGGGGTGGATCTTGCTGATATGCACGGAAAAAGTCCAAGAGCAAACAACTTCTCTGCGATACCACCAGGGCCAGCAAGTACTTTTTTTGTCCGGCTGAAGCCTGAAGCTCCTGGACCAAAAATCTCCAGAGAGATGTGAAGTATTCTTGAGCTTTGTAACTCAGAGATTCCGGCAGCAGGAGCACATGGAGAGAGTTGCTGAGCATACACCGCAGCAAAAACAATCGAAGCTGCTCCTCTTCACACATGTCAGGCAACCCAAAACAAACGAGAACCTGACTGGCGTGCGGCATGGATCCCTGCACATCTTGGAACATTTGCAGAAGTGATGGCATCACCCTGGATGCCTCCAGCCGGAAAAGGTTCGGGGAGCCCTGCTTTAAGTAGGCCGGCACATTCACCCGCCATTCCAGTGGGTGCACCTTCTCCAATGCCATTGACACATGCTTGAGTGCCTCAGCTTCACGACGCACCATGGGCTGCAAACCGAAGAGCAGCGAGAAGCGACGCAGCCCACCGACAAAGCGAAGGGTTGAGTCCCACATCGTTTCTGCAGGCAGCAGTGCCTTACGGATAAGCTCCACTTGCTCCGGCCTGAGGCCTAGTTGAGCCAACAAAGTCCGATTGGGTTCGGGACCGGATAAGTCGCGAATGTTGGAGTGAGTGAAAGGGTACCCCTCACAAGGGCTCGTCCCCCCTCAATAATCTGTACTACTACCCCCTTTTAATTTGATCCTGTGTCACTGGGTCCTCCTACTGCTGCTGCCTGCTGCTGCTGCCGCTACTACTACTATTACTACTACTACTACTCCTCCTCCTCCTGCTGCTGCTGCTTCTGCTTCTGCTACTGCTACTGCTACGACGACGACGACTAAGACTACTATTCCTACTATTACTACAACAACGACAACAACAACTACTACTACTGCTGCTACTACTTCTTCTTCAACTGACTAAATAAAACTCGTACTACTCCTACTACTACTCCTACTACTGCTACTACTCCTACGCCTACTCCTACTCCTACTCCTACTCCTCCTCCTCCTCCTCCTCCTCCTCCTCCTCCTCCTCCTACTACTACTACTACTACTACTACTACTACTTACTACTACTTACTACTACTTACTACTACTTACTACTACTTACTACTACTTACTACTTACTACTTACGACTACGACTACGACTACGACTACGACTACGACTACGACTACGA